GGAGACTATTTCATTTAATAAATGTTTTGTTTTGATATATAAGCTGTTCTGGTTTTTTTCATCTAAAAAACGGCATTAATTTCTTGACGACCTAATACACATATATAATAATACTGTATATATTAAAACTACCTACAATCATGACGTCTTTTATATACTTGCTTATACTCAGGGTGGTAATTTTGGTTACGTCTTTTCAACCTTAACGTGTTTGAGGACAACCAGGGGTGTTCAGAAGCTTTTTTCCGATTCTCTTCAACCCCGCTAATTGTTTGAACTATTTGGTCTGTGTGTTTCTATTTTTGGCCATTCTGTAAAATATCGTGGCAAGTTGTGTAAAGCGATCTTTGATCGTTGGTAACTTGGTAATGCTGTGTAGGTATTCTTGAGGTGTGTAGCTCGACAGTCTGTGTGCAATTTTAATTGCTCTGTTTTTTTATACACAATTTAGCAAAGATATATTTATACCTTCCTCGCAAGGTATTTTAAATAAAAGTTTAAGTATCGATACAAATGTGCTATAATTAGATCATTATGGTTAGTAATATAACTGCTAAATCTCCGAAGAATTAACAGTGCAACAAATGATATGAAATAAAACAATAGAGAAATAAACAAATGAATAACTAGAAAGGTCTGAATTTACAGAGAACTTACTTAATAACCATCAACTCCTTTAACTAATCCCTTGATGGTGATTAATGAAACCATCAAAATGTCAACTGCTGAATTAAAACTTTCTTTAATTAACTAGTTAGTTAAATATTTTTTTCACCCTATTCACCTATTCCTTTATCACTGAAATATATCTTCAGATATATCACGCACTATATCTTAATATCCTTAGTAAATTTGAAAGTTGTCTAAAAAATCACAAATGTTGTCATAATTCTTAATCTGTTGTCTAAAGTATTTCTAATTCCTTGTCATACTAAAATGTTATAAGTTACAGAATTCTTGCGGACCTTAGAATCTAAAAACTCGTTTATATATGTATGAATGGATTATCTCGGCAAAAACAATATTAATATAGGATTTTCTCAAGTATGATCGAGAATATTTAAGTTTTTTAATTATTATTTTTTTTACTGTTTCGTTGCTAAGCGATCTACTTCGTTATTCTATAACTGATTAATTTAAGCCCCTGTTTGAATTTATTTTCTGGCCATAATTACAGAAACATACTCAAAGTTGTGTGAACCATTTTCCTTAAAAGTAATTAGCAAAGTGTCTTTTGACTTATATATATTCCGGGTTTGTTTTAAATGACCTTATTTATTTATTCTAAATTGACAATCATATTTGGTTTTAACAAAGTAATGGAAACAAGACACATCTTCCCGTGTTTCACATATCATTTTGATGGATTATGACTTTAAATGTCGGAATTCAGCCCTTAGAGTGGAACAGCACGTACATCAATATGGGGACATTTTTGTTTGAGATGTATAAGGTAAACAAACGAGCCACTGCTAAAACCTATCAAGATG